CGAAACACGCACAGTGACCCACGCCCGCGATATTTGATGAACTTTAGACTTCGCTAATGCTTCCCTTCCCCGGGTGTAAATAGCCGGGGGGAATTAGTACCCTCGCACGGCGCTTCGCGCCGTCGGCTCGGGGATTAAAACTAAAATTTATATTACAATAAAAATGAATCATTATATGATACGATACTAGAAGGAATAAAACTTTTACTAAATCTTGTAGTCTTACAATTAATTAAGTTAATATGCTGATCGTTACGTAGATTGTAAGTACGTAAGTCCTCGCGTTTATTAGGGATAAGTTCATTCAATTTATTTTCCGGGTTGAGAAGTTTCTTAAAATAGGATGTGATATGATATGATATGATAACTGTCCCGAGACCAATCGTCCGACATCAGGGCCAATTACAGATATCCAACTTCATGGATTCGGCGATGCTAGCAATCAAGGAGTCAGTGCTGTTAATTGTATACGCGCTAGCCAAACAAGACTCCGAGGACACCCAAACGTTAGTGGCTGCAAAGTTTCGCCTGGCGAAGCGTGGACTTACCATACCTCGGCTAGAATTGGTCGCTGGTCATATGACAGCAAACCTGGTTAGCAGCGTGGCGAAGGCGATCGGTGAAGAAAGAGTGTCGCAACAACATGCATGGCTTGACCGTACAGTTGCTTTGTATTGGATACGAGGCATGGGGGAGTACCGACAGTTTGTGGCTAATCGTCTCATAAAAATTCAAGCTCACTCCAATATCGAATGGTATCACGTTCCTACTTCAGAGAACCCTGCTGACCTAGGTAGCAGAGGAGGGCAGCCGACAGAGAAATGGCTAAATGGTCCAACGTGGCTTGGTAATGAAATGGCCTGATGGCCTCCATGAATCCTCAGAATCACAGTCTGAAGCCAAGGTAACTCGAGAAGTGTTAGCAACCGCGGTGACTGAGCCTGAGCGAGATGATCATGTAAACCTACTTGAGAAGCACACCTTGACAAAGACCCTCAGAATCGGTGCGTGGGTCACGAGATTTATATATAATTGCAAGAATAAAAGAGACAACCGAATTGGAGGTCCTCTTCATTATGACGAAATCCTGAAGGAAGAGAAATGGTGGATTGCTAAAGTTCAGAAGTTGATTTCAGAAGAAGAACGAGAAAAGCGTAAAGATCTTAACCTGCAAACAAATGAGGACGGACTGTTAGAATGTCGCGGCAGAATTGAGGGACATTACCCACTGTACGTCCCTGATGCTGCACTGTTTTCAACGTAGCTGGTCGAGCGGGAACACAGAGCAACCTTGCATGGTGGAATTTCGCTTACAAAGACTAGGATAAGACAGCGTTACTGGATTCCTAAATTGCGCAGCCTCGTGAAACGGGTTCGAAGCAATTGTTGGGGATGCAAGCGAAGTCAAGCAAAACCAATGGGAGACCCTGCATCTGGTCCACTTCGAAGCAGCAGGACAACGGGGAACACACCATATTCCGTGATCGGTGTGGACTTTGCGGGTCCTATTCGTTACCGCGCAAGCAAGAAAGTTGAAAAGACAGCTTACTTAGTGGTTTTCGCGTGCAGCCTCACACGAGGAGTACACCTGGAACTGTTAGAGAGCCTTGAAACTGAAGAGTTTCTACAAAGTTTTAAACGCTTTATTGCGCGACGAGGAAGACCTTCAGTCGTGTATTCCGACAACGGAGCCACCTTTAAAGCGGCAGTGACATGGCTAAGGAAAGTTCGGAAAGAAGAGAAATTCCACGAAGCTCTTTGCAACTTGAGATTGTTTGGCGATTAAACCTCGCAAAAGCACTATGGTGGGGTGGTCAATACGAGCGCCTCATTGGTATTTTCAAATCTGCTTCGTAAGACAGTCGGGGGTGGACTCTTGTCCTTTTCTGAACTAGAAGAAATCGTCCTCGACGTAGAAGTGTGCATGAACAACCGTCCCTTAACGTACTTGGAGGATGATCCTCAGCTGCCTGTCTTTACACCAACAACCAACAGCAGTACCAGAGCTACAGTTCCAACAACCAACAGCAGTACCAGAGCTACAACCTCATCAATTAAAAGAGCGCGACCTGAAGAAACGTCTCAGGTTCCTTTGTACAACGAAAGATGGACTATGGAACCGCTGGACCCGAGAGCCATCTCACAGGACTAAGGGAGAGACATAAAATTGTTCGTGGATCTAAAGTAGAATACCCAAAAGTAGGAGATGTTGTCATTGTTAAGGAAGAAAACAAGAATAGAAATACCTGGAAACTGGGAAAGATCGTCCGACTTATTACCGGCAGAGACGGAGTGGTGCGAGGCGTAGAGCTTCAAACAGGGAATGGAAGACTGGAGCGACCGTTGCAACTAATTTACCCTTTGGAACTTCATTGCGACCAAGAGGCTGTCGAACGGGAAACTCCACCACTTAATACACAAGCGAAAGAATTCAGACCTAAAAGGAAAGCGGCAGAGAATGCAGCAGCGAAGATTAATAAAGTACTTGCGGAGGAAGAGGAGACGATGATAGATTGAACGATAGATTGAACGATAGATTGAATGATAGATTGAACAAGAGATTGGGACATTAGTTCCTTTTGTTGCATACATCTCATTAGAAAAGATGTATGGTGGGAGTGTGTCGGAACTAATGTAAACATTAACAGCAGACGCTATACTAATTAACTAACATAAATAATATAGTTCATGTTTATTATACTAACCTAATCGGAAGTGACGGCGCTAATTCATTGTGTGGTTTAGCCAATAGGCACATGTGCTTTATGGGGGAATATATTTGTTATTGGGATTGGGAAATTTGTAGTTTTTACTGTGAGATTGATTTGAGAGAGAGAGAGAAATTGTGATTTAAACTGTGATTTACTGTGTTTCATGTGATTATTGTCTGGGCGACGGGCAGTAGTTTCCAATAAGTTTGCATGCATGGACTGTAGTCTGTAATAAGACCTGCGGAGTGCGGTGCGCTGCAGCCTCAGCGGCGTTGATGCGCTTGATAGTATGCGACGACTAAAAGCAAAAATCAAAACGACGAATATATTTTACTATCGCACGCGAGTATATTAATTACATCGTTTTGTAATTTACTTTAACGCGTGAAGAATTGTCAGCAAAGACACAATACAACATATTATACTCATTCTCTAATTTAGTTGCGTTGTTTTCAAACCGTCAAAACTGCCAGGAAAGACAGCAATATATTATACTTTACTCAATTTGTAATTTACGTCGTCCAGGACTATGCGGCTTTATAGATGCATAAAGGCTTCTATAGACATTATAGACGTTTTTTGTATATAACTGCACTATTAAGACTACTTTCAGAACCACGGCAGCGGTAACTCCATGTAATGAAACACGTCATGTAAATTATTTCGATTTTACGTCTCAAGTACGCTTTAATATGGTCAGTGTTACTTCATAATCACACTAGACTGTTGAAAGATAACAGTGCCAAAAAACGGAGTTAGTGTATTCAAGACAGCGCAGCCAATCGTTAGCCTGCGCGCAAACGGTTGGCTGTGATATATCCTGCCAACACTTATTAGCGTCACATCAAACACAAAAGACGACAACACAACACAAAACTCTCTATAAATCGACGCAAAACCAATACCTAATACGTCGTAAAAAACATAAAACGATTGTTATCCCTAAGCGAACGCATGGCTGTAAATCTACTCATGAAGTTTCGAGCATTCAACCGGGGCGCTATAAACCTGCGCGCGCTTTATAGTCTACACGACAAATTTATAAACCAAAACGAAAACAAAAAAATTTACGCATGCTTCGTTGACTTTAAAAAAGCATTTGACTCTGTATGGCATCAAGGCCTGTTTTACCAATTATTACAGAACAAAATAGGAGGACATTTCTATGATCTTATCACAGACATGTACTCTAATACTAAATGTGCGATCAAACTTTTAGAAAGCCGAACCCCCTTTTTCCCATACAAAAAAGGTGTTCGCCAAGGATGCAGCTTAAGCCTATTACTCTTTAATATCTACATCAATGAAATACCGAAACTTTTCGAAAAAATTGAATCAGACCCTTTCATGCTACCAAACGAAACCGAAATGAATAGTCTACTATACGCAGATGACCTAGTAATACTCTCCCGATCAAAATCAGGTCTTCAAAATTGCCTTGACCAACTCCATGAATGGTGTGAAAACTGGTTATTGCAGATAAATTCTAAAAAGACAAACATTATGATTTTTCAAAAACATAACTCCAGCCAACCGACTAAGATCCAATTTCAGATTGGAGACAAAAAATAGATACAACTAAGGAATACAATTACCTTGGCCTCAAAATATCACAAAACGGAAAATTCAAACTCGCTCAGCAACAACTGGGTGAAAAAGCCCTCCATGCACTTTATAAAATCCGAAAAAACATTAACTTTCACAAACTAACACCAAAACTTGCAATGAAGATTTTTGACTCGATCATCTCCCCCATACTACTGTACAACTCGGAAATTTGGGGTGCTTACGAAAAAAATGACTATAATAAATGGGAAAACTCAGAAATCGAAAAAGTTCATCTAAGATTCTGCAAGTTTTATTTGGGTGTAAGCAGAAAAGCAACAAATGTGGCTTGCAGGGGAGAACTTGGTAAATTCCCTCTCCTCTTAACAATAAAAAAAACATAATTAATTATTCTAAACATATCTACCAGCTACCCGATGACTCAATCGCGAAACAAAGCTTAAACATATCCAAAGATCTTTATACGAACCATAAAGAATCATATTACTCAAAAGCAGTTAATCTACTGAAACATTACTACCCAACCGATCAAATATTGAACTAGCTATCTTAAACTATGACTGACTACGACAGTTGTAAACAAAATGAAAGAAAAATACATCGAATTCTCGAAACATAAAATAACGAACTCCTCAAAACTAACATTTCTATCCACTTTGAAAACAGAAAACAAAGTTGAACAATACCTATCTCTCATTAAAAATCCAACAACAACAACATTTACGCAATTTCAAATAAGCAACCACAAACTACATGTACAAATTGAATACGGGAGATACCAAAATATCCCTCGTGAAGAACGCACTTGTAAACTGTGCAATTCTGGCGAAATAGAAGATGAATTTCACCTTAGTCTTGCATGCCAAAAATACAATCATGCCAAAAATACAATATAATATTTGATCTGAATGTAACAAATGAAAGTAAACGAAAATTACTGCAACACACAATGATTTCCAACGATCCAGTAATCATTAATCTTTTTTCCGAATTTATCACCACGTGATTTTCTAACAGAGAAAATAGTCTCAGATCCATGGAACAAAACGCAGTAAGATAAATAATCTAATTACTGCGTGTATATACTCATAAAAATTAATATACACTATTAGTCATCATATATAATAGCTAATCTATTAGTGACATTGTTATAGAAACATTAATTCTTCATGTTCTGGTAGGTCATTTCTGACCACTATTATAAATACTTTAGGTCATCTCTGATCACTATTATAGATACTTTAGCTCCAACTTTTTAATCAGAATCTTGTAATTAATAGTGTCGAACGCCTTTGATAGGTCAAGAAAAATACCTATGGTGTATCTTCCCTGATCAATCGCTTTAGTAATTCCATCAATAAGTTCAATAATTAGCTTCAATAATTAGCTTCTAAATTAAAAACTAAATTTCCAGCATCAAGAATTGGAATATCAAGCATTGTTACCCGGGAAGACTGTGACCTAACAGACAAAATAAGGAAAACAAATTCACTAATTGCCCAAACGTGTTTAAATCAAGATTATGGTTTTATAAACAATGAGAACATTGATAGGACTGCCTTAAACGGTAGCAAGATCCACCTAAACGCTAAAGGGTCTGCCTATTTAGCTGTCAATTTCATTAAATTTATTCGAGAAGCAATAAAACGACCACCCAAACAAGAACAAGGCAAGGAAACAGTAGGTTTGTTCAGGATTTTCAGACAAGCCAACTATTACAACTGGGGAACTTTTTAACATATCTAGCCCTATCAGCCCCCCAACACCCGAGTCGCAGCATGATGAAGATGTAACCTGCCAATTCAAACAGATGGGAAAACTAAAAGGTCTGAAACTTGGTAGTCTAAATATCAATAGTCTATTAAAAAATATTGAACATATTCGTTATATTTTATCACAGTATTCCTTTCACATCTTCGCTATTAACGAAACAAAAATTGATTCATTAGTAAATGACTCTGAAATAAGTATACCAGGTTATAAACTAGTTAGAAGGTGGTGTTGTAATATATGTTCAAGAACACCTCTCCATTTTGGTTAGAAATGACTTAGTTCCAAATATAGACCAGGCGGAGAAGGGGGGAATAGTCCCCCGACGGGGAAATTTATGAAACCAAGTGAACTTGGTCAATTTTGGGGTGCTGAATTCGAAAATCGTTGGTATACAGGCCGTGGACGTGGCCTTCACCCTCGTTTTCGCGTTTAAAGCCTCGTTTTGATGCGAAAACGTTATCCACTCGATTGAAGCGAAAACAATGAATAATTTGTTTAATATACGCACTTTTAGGTATTTTTAGGTGCAGAATTCGAAAATTGATTGCATTCGGACGATAAACTGGGCCATCTGCCTCGTTTCCGAGATTTATAGCCGCGTTTTTACGCTTTGAAACCATGTTTTCCGATTTTAGTTACTAATATATTTAAGCACGCATGTTACCAGTACAAGGCAATGTGTCATACTTTAATGCGTAAAACAGGCCATTTTGTGTACAAACATGAAATTTTTTTA